AAAAAAAAAAAAAAAAAAGCTAACTAATTCCATTCAAAAAAAGTAAAAAGAAAGCTATTGAAAGTCTTAAGTTTGTTACTCTGTTTTCATTCAAGAAAATGCTCTCATCTCTGCTTTGCCCGTAAATGTGATTTAATTTTTTTGGCCAAAATGTGTTTTAAATTAATAATTGGACTTTCATTATTAAATTAAAATACAAAGAACTAAATCTGCTGAGTGCTGAATTAAACTGAACTAAAGAAACTTGTTAATACTAACGTAAATTAAATAATGTATAATATATATATCTATATAATATTTTTGTACAAAAAAAAAGGGGAAATTTTTTATAAAACCGATACCGATATTGTTTCAACCGGTTCGGTACGGGAACGGTACGAAAATTTTAAAAACCGATTTGGAACCCTATTTTTCGAAACGGGACCATTTCGGACCCTATTTTTCGAAACGGGACCATTTCGGTCCGGTTCGGGATCGGGAAATCCGATTTTTTTGCCCACCCCTAGAAATTATTTCCTCAATTTCATACCACAATTAATCTAGTCCGTATTACCACCAAATACGCTTATCGTTGAGCTAGTAATAATTGATAAAATGCTCGTAAATTAACCCAGAATTTGAATTTGGGCCTAAACATAGTCAATCCGTTGGGCCAACCTATTGACCACAGGTTAGAGGCCCGCCTCCAAATCGGGCTCGACGGTTGTGCTGGCATGTTCCGGGCCCCATCTCCGGTCCAACTGGTCGATACAATTTGGCTCTCAAACGAGTCAAGCTCGAAACTTATTCAAAGATCGTTTAGTCAATGAGTAGGTCCCAGCTCGTCTCAATAAGCCTCGAAATTAAGAATTTTTATATAATTTTTTATAATTCGACTCGTTAAAACTCGATCTTGATTCACTAATATTCATCAACGAGTCGAGTTCGAGCTCGATTACTTGCCCGTTTAGTTAACAAGTCGAGCTCAGGTTAACTCGTTTCACTAATGGCTCGAATTGGAGTTCGGCTCGACTTGTTTACACCTCTGCTCGTTTCATTGAATTGAAGGTTTGAGCCAAACTCGAGCGCAATTTGAGTTGATCTTGACTGTGTATTTTTGTCTAATAAGGTAAAGCCTTAAAATGCTCAGGTTCAATGAAGGATGTGCTCTGGAGTGTGGCAGAGAGAGTGAGCTGTAATGGCTTACTGGGTGGCATTTTCGAAATCGGAAGTTTTTGTGGGCTTTTTCAAATTATAGTCTTTGTTGGCACATTTGTGCATCACAAAAGATTATTGTGTGTGTAACAAAATTTCAACTTCCTACCACAATTAGTATAGCTCCATGTTACCAACAAAAACATAACGATGTGCGACCGCAAATGAATCGAACGGTTCACCAGTCGATGCAAAGACTCAAACTCAATTTTGACCAAATTCGAGTCGTGTTTGAGCCCTTTTGTTCAAACTCGAGTTCGAATGCATATTTTGTATACGCAAATGCTAGACAAGATACTCGGATACGCGTGAAATAGCCTAACTGCCCTAGACATTCTTTAATTGAAATTTCATGTCAAACTCAGGGAAAATTCAACCACATCTCGAGCATTTGCATTATTTTGAGTCAGGCCGAGCCTTAAATGCTCAACTCATCAAGCAGCTGAAAATTATGATATATGCTATAAATTTTGCTCTGCTCGGCTCTGCTTGTTTGTGGCGCTATATGTGCCCGATTGAGAACCCAAATTATGATCACTAATAAACCACTTAACATTATAACACAAATTGACAAATATGCTAAACAAATACGATTCGTTTCTGAATTCGAATCCAAAGTAGGCCCATCATCCGCCCTCCAAAATGACAATAAAAACAAGCCAAAACGAAAGTCAATACCCGAACCACGACCCTTGCTAGCTGGCGAGGCCGTCACTCAAACATAAGATACAACTTTCTCGTGTCGGCCTCACCAGATAGCAAGGATCCCATGCAATCTGGTTCGCTCTTGACTTCCAAAATAACAACGATTTTAAACCTAAATAACGACTGGAAAAAAAAAACGTAAATTAAATTACTCAGCTATATATTAAGTAACCGTCCTTCAACTAAACGTCCCCTTCTTTCTTGGCAGCATTGTCGTCAATAACCCGGCCACTGCCGAGGGCGGCTGTGATCTGGTCCACTGCGGTGCAGAGGTGGTGGTTTATGGCTGTAACGCTCGACAGGTTGAGCTTTGCAGTTGGAATCGTGCTTGCTAGGACTTGGAGTCCCACAGTAAGAAGACACCCGGTATTGTTATTGTTGTTGTTGTTGTTGTCGGGTGGTGGTGATGAGGTGGCGTCGTGTGATTGGTCCTTCTGTGGTGCAGGGACTATGACAAAGCCGATGGGGAGCAGGGGAATGCAGGAAGGGTCCTCGCCGTTCATTGCCAGCTGGACGGCATCCACGTCGATTGTGGTGTAGACGACCATGCTTCCGGAATCATCCGAGCAGCTCTCTTGCAGCACGAGCTCCACGCTCTGTGACGAGTTACTTGCCACCTGTAATGGTTAAAAAAAAATGTAAATAGGCATAATAGAAAAAAATAATTGATTAATGATGTTATACAAATGAAATTAGAGAGATGAGTGATTGTACGTTGATTCGGAGAAGAGAAATGCAGTTCCCGGGATGAGAGCCGTTTGCGATGTGAGCGACTTCGTGCAATGAATTCCCATTAGAAAGTACTTCAAGCTGCAAGCAAGCGAAAAAATCAGTTAATAAACATTAATGTAGTTGTATACAAAAAAAGTTCGACTATTTTTAAATAATTTATGGGTGAAAATTTAAATTAACCTGAGCTCTACGCCGTTCGTCTCTCAAGAAATCAAAAACTTGTTGGTGGGGATAAGGCAAATAAGTAGTGGAGACAGCACACAGGATGAGGCCGTTTGGCTGGCCAGCCTCAGTCACTTTTCGAGTAGTTATTCGAACAGTGTCTTCAGCAGAGTCAGAGAGAGCAGTCCAAGATTGTCCGTAACAAGTGCTTATGTTCAAACAGAATGTCCGAATCATCCTCTGAGCCAAATTCATCAGATTCTTTCTCGCTTGAGGTGAAGGGATCACTGCAAGTTTTAAACATAAGGCAGGTTATGATTGAGCAATTGAAAAATAATTCTAACACAAAAAAAAAGTACCTCCAAGATCGGATATATTCCGAGCCATGAGGCTCGCGAGCCTCTCGCATTGGCGTTGCAGAACGGCTAACCATCGACGAGCTCCAAAAGCAATGCCGTTATTCACGACGTGATTGAAAACCTGGTGGATTGGACCGTCCTCTACTTCAGCATGTTCAACCCAAGTCACCTATAATATATTCAAAGGAAGATTGTGAAATATTATGAAAATATTAACAAGTTTGGGAAGAATCTAAATTCTAGAATAATTGGGAGATCGAGGACTCTGTCTTAATGCTTTACACATGCAAGCAAGTCGAACGAAGTGGTATGCTCTATAAGTGACGAGACAGGAGCTCGACGGGTATAAGCGTACGTACCCTCGAGTATCCATTGGGCATGTCTTGAATGAGACAACCGGATGGCCTCCGGCGGTAATAAGGAAAAGAAGGTGAGTAAATGTTTTGGAAAGCATCGACCGGAAAATCGACTATGGCCCAGCTTCCTTCGTCCGCGTTGTGTTGGCAGTAACGGAGGAAATGCGACTCTCTTGTCGGGACCAGAGGAGACAGAACTTGTACTTCTGCATACATCTGCACCAAAAAATACAGAGAGATATTAATAATAAATTGAATATTGTATTATTCAAATAAAAAAGATTAAAAAAAATAACTGAAAATGGTAGGAAAGATCACCAGATGAAGAGACCCGGTTGCATGTCCGGAGTTAACGCCAGAATGCACCACTTGAAGCGTTTTTGCTCGGGATACTATCGAAGGGAACAGCTCCATCCACTTGTTCTGTACAAGATAATAACCAGTTAAGGTTAATACACATTATGATACATCTCAATTAGACGATTCGCAGCCAAATATAAAATTTCATCAAACGCAATTAAATTTGAACGGCTCACCGCATCAAGGAAAGCATCGACCAAAGTAATGCTATTCATGATAACAACGGCCGTGTCCCTGCTCGCCTCGACTCTGAACTGATCGACCGACGATGAGTTGGTAGTGAAAACTCTTGCGTACTCCTCAAAGTTGAGCACTTCACCGTATTTCCCTCCCCTATTCCAAAGGGGTTCACCCGCGTGGCACATCTTGACGAGCTCGTCAATAGCCGACAATGCCAACTCCATAGACACACCCTTTTCTTCTTCCATTATCATCAGAGTGCTTGCATTGCTCGGGAACTGCGAATTTTGATCGAAATCGGGAAGAGGCATCATGTGGTCATGATGAGGTGGACAATTGGTCAATAACGGGTCGTTTTGGTCAAACTTTCTCGGATACGAGCTTATGTCCAAGTCCAACGAATGTGAGAGGAGAGAATTCGGTCCCATCTGCTGATGAACTGGTCGACCCGTGTATTGTGTGACCATACAACAAACTCGGTCCAACTGCATTGTTCCATATATAGCACATTGTTAATCTTACAATATTCGAAGAAAGAACTATTATTAGTTTATTAGTTTACAATTACCTCCTCCTTGAGACGAGCATTTTCGATCCGTAGTTGTTGCTCGTCGTACCCCATTTCACCGAGCATCGCCGGACCTCCACAATTAGGACAAACGATGTTCCTCAATGCGGCTTGCAATCGATAGTTATCGTTCTTTAAGCCTTCGTTTTCCGCTCTTAGGACAACATTGTCTTGTCTATCTTGTTGCGCCTACGTACGAACACCAAAAAATTCGGACATGTCTTAGCAATATTAGTTTATTATAATTCATATTGTACAAAATTCTATTTTTTTTTAATAATTTTTTTTTTCAATTTGATATATATATATATATATATATATATATATATATATATTTTTTCATTTAATAGTCCTAAAGCCCTAAAAACCCTAAGAAGGCATGCATTAAAGGCATTGTTCCCGTTGGGTGGCGAGCAGCAGTGGGTGAGGGGGTAAGGTTGACTGCGCACATTAATGGCAAAATATGCAGGACTTTGAAAGCAACTATTACAGATAAGAAAATTTAATGTGCTGCTCCCATGCCTACTCCTGCTGCTTGCTACTGTGCGCATTGGTGGTGCGCGCACGTTAGCGAGCTCTCTTGTCAATAATGCTAAGGAGTCAACAGCCAATAGGACAGCTCCATGTGGGACTGTCCACATGGCTCGAATGTGGGACAGCCCCAAATGGAACTGTCCCATTGGTTGTTGGCTCGTAACGGAGCCAACAGTTGGCTCTTTTGTGGGTTCTTTGACCTTATTATGCAGTTAATGTGGGCTTTTTGGCCCAACTCAATGCCCATTGGGACACAAATCTGGCCTAACAGAGTTTGGTGAGTGTTTATTTATTTATTTATTTTATTTATTTTTTTTAGGGAAAAAAACAGCTGGAAAACTACTTGAAATTTAAAAAACATGTTAATTAATTTAGGGTTTTATATTTATTTTTATTTATTTATGGAGAGAGGGGGTAGGTGCTAAAATGCGCACCTTCATCTGTGTTCTTCTGTTTTGGAACCAGAACTTGACCTGGCGTGGCTTGAGGCCGAGATCTTGGCTCAGCTTAAGCCTTTGCTTGTCATCTGGGTGTGGACATTCTTTGAACAGCCTGTCAAGTTAATATATTAAATAATTAATTAATTAATTAATTAAATCATGAAAGAAAAAAAAAATAGTAGAATGATCACAATCAACAGTTATTTGTATAAAGATATGGTGCGGAAGATGTTGATTTAGTTAATTTAATTTAATTAATTGCACGTAACGTACGATTCCATTTCTTGGATCTGTCGAGCCGTGTGGCGATGGTATCGTTTTTTCTTGGCTTGCGGCTGTTGCTGTTGTTGTTGCTGCTGTTGTTGTTCGGCGTCTAATAAGTCTTGCTCGTTGCCGGAAAACCCTTCCATGTGCTCACTACCCGACCCGCTTTCGAGTAAATCGGTCTCTTTGCTCTTAGCCATCCCATTTTCTTCTTTCTGCATCTCAAATTCACAAAAACAGAAAAAAAACAAAATAATAAAAAAAAAAAAAAAAAAAATTAGGCACTTTTTTGCATAATGAACGTAGCATCACACGTTATGACTATAATGTCAAATATGTAGTTACTTACCGGGATAATGGGAGAAAAAATGTTGAAAGGGTTTATGTTAGGCATGAAATTGAAGTTGTTCATGGCGTTAGGGTTGTGGTGGATCGACGGCGACCCGAAAAGGGAATTTTCCGATGACGGAATCGAGTTCCCTCCGGCCATTGATGACATCACTTGACAATCTCCATACATGTTTTTTTTTTTTTTTTTTGTTATTCTCCTTTTGTCCTTGTAAGCTTGGCTCTGCAAAAATCAAATCACAATACTTGTAAAGAAAAATGAAAACCACATAAAGTTATATAAGATCAATAAATAATATATATGTATATATATATATATATAAGTAGGTATTGTTGTGAACTTCAATAGTCTTTTACACCCTTTTTATATATATCCAGGAAAAAAACAGTGAAACCCACAAAAGCATGAGCTGCAAAATTTCATTAATGATCTGAACTAATTGCAAATACAAGGAAAAAAAAAATGAAAAAGACCCAAAAATTAAAAATAGAGAGAGTGAGAATAAAAATGGTAGAGATGTTGAAACGAGTAATAGTAAATACCCTTAGCTAACCATCTTTTTGTTTTTTTTTTTTCTTTTCTCTTATTATCTCTCTAATGCCCAACAAGACACATATATAATAGTGTATGATGTTACGGTCACGTTACGGAACGATTTTATCGGGGGTTCCCGACGGTTACATAATGATCTAACAGTTACAAATCTTGACATAATGGTTCCGTAACGAAACTGTAGCATTTCTCAAAATGAAATAAATATAAGTATGATATTAGATAATATAAATACTATATATTTTCATTCAAGTATATATTTTTATCACACAAAAAAAAAA